ATCATCATAAACATGTACAAGCTTTTGTTTAGGGTGCATGGGAGTTGAAACGAGGTTTAGCATCTAAGAAACCATATTCCGTCAACGAAATCCAAATTGTATTTCCTTTGATAGAGAGCAATACCAAGTCGTGATCTAGCCACTTCAATGCCTAAGAAGTATTTAAGAAGACCTAGATCCTTGAGCTTAAATTTCAAATTCAAAAATTGCTTGAGATCATCTATATCGGAGGAAGAACTACCGATAATTGTTATATCATCAACATATACCAACAAAGCTAGAAAATTATAGGAACTAGTAATCATAGTGAATAAAGAGTAGTCCGCTTTAGATTGCTTGAAACCAAATTCAAGAAGGGCTACAATGAATTTGGCATTCCATTGTCTAGAAGTTTGTTTCAACCTATATAATGATTTATGAAGCTTGCATACTAATGGATAAGAGGTATCCGACAACTCCCTCATAGCTCATAGCTAAGTGGAATCTCCATGAATACTGTCTCATTAAGATCACCATGCACGAATACATTGTTGATGTCAAGTTGAGACAAGATGCACCCTTGAATAATGGCTAATCCAAGAAACATCCTAACGGTTATGTGCTTGGCAACAAGATTGAATATTTCTTAATAATCAAATCCCTCAATTTGACTATATCCCTTAGCCGGAAAACCTAGCCTTGTAACGATCTATACTCCCATCAGCCTTGAGTTTCACCTTGTAAACCCATTTGCATCTAACAAGTATAATGGCCAGCAGGTAAAGGAACAATAGACCAAGTATGATTCTCCTCAAAAGCTCGTAATTCGGACTTCATGGCATCTTTTCGGTGATCAAACTTTACGGATCGTAGGTAAGTTTTAGGCTCAAAGATGGTGGATAAAGATCTAGTAAATGCAGCATGAGATGAAGATAAATGAGATGTAAAATGGTAATTATATATACGATATTGGGTAGAGTACACCAGATTGGTATGCGAGTAAACAGATTTGACAAGAAGAGTGTGATGATAGGCTTCCAAATATTTTGGTGGTTTACTCACTCTAAGAGACTTCCTAGAAGCATTAGTGAGAGCATGAAGAGGAACATCTAGAGGATGAATAGGTTCAATGCTGTCTAAAGAAGTCTCAAAATGTTATAAATCACCATCTATGGTAGGAGACGGCTCAACGTCATGGCCAAGAAAGGCATTAAGATTGTCAATATGAATGGGCTTCTCAATAGTAGGAACAATAGGTGGAGTAGGATTTGAAGAAGACCGATGAAGAATTTATGCATCGAACTTATAGAAGGATTGGGAGGTTGAATGTGACTCGAAGTCAAACAAATTGGAATTAGACACCAAAGGGTTAATCGGTGACAGATTATGGAAAAACATAGAAGACATAGAAGAAGAGAAAGTGAATATAGTTTCATGAAAAACAACATCTCCGAAAATAAAGACCTTGTGTGATTGAAGATCATAAACCTTATAGCCCTTAATGCCATAGGGATAACCAAGGAAAATACATGAGGTAGCTTTGGGTTGAAAATTTTTTTGGTTAAAACCGAGTGTGGAGGCAAAACATAAAGAATCAAAAACCTTTAAATGAGTATACTTGGGTGACTTGTGAAATAAGATTTCATAAGGAGAAGAATTATGCAATAGAGGAGAAGGAATTCTATTGATGAGATAGGTAGCGAGTGAGAATAGCATCTCCCTAAAATTTCAAAGGTAATTATACTTGGAAAAGAAGGGCTCTAACCATAGACAACGAGTGTTAATGCTTTCGTTCTACAACAAGCATTTTGTTAGGGTGTACTAACACAAGAAAATTGATGAATAATTCCTATGGAGGTATAAAAGCTAGGAAGATTAAATTCAAGTCCATTATCGGACCTAATTTGTTTGATGGAACAACTAAATTAATTAAGAACCATTTGGTAGAATGAAGAGATGATGGACAAAATGTCGGACTTATGTTTTAGTAAGAAAACCCAACTTACTCTTGTGAAGTCATCAACAATAGTTAAAAAATAATGAAAACCATTTAGAGAAAAAATCGAATAAGGGCTTTAAATATCCACATGCACCAATTCGAAAGGAAGAATTGTATCTTTATTATGTATGGGAAATGGTAATCGTTTCTATTTTTCCATGGGGCATACAAAACAAGGAAGATTGACATTATATTGAATAGTCTGAATGATTCGATGAATCGGCTTGATTCTATCGATAGAGATATGATCTAACCTACAATGCCATAGGTCAGAAACAGAGTGATCAACAAGTTTATGATCATTGGATGAAGTATTACAAGACTTCGAATAGAAGAAACCTAACTAATTTGGACATACTAGAAAAGAAATAACCCTGTTCGGAGGCTAGCATTTCCAATCGTTATCCATGAAAAGGTGTCCCGAATCACACAAGTATTGCTAGAGAATGTCGGCTTGTATTTAGATCGAGTGATGAGTTTACCGACGTAAACTAGGTTAAATTTGAATGAAGGCACATAAAGAACATTATGAAGTACAAAACAAGGTGACAAATGCACTTGACCAATATGAGTGACTCGGAGCTTTAGAACCATTAGGCATCTACACCGTTATGCCGGAGACAGGTTTATAGTTTTGGAGATATGTAAGTGAACATGAAATGTGATCGAGTTGCTCATGTATCTAGTATCCGAGTGCATGAATGAGGAATTGGAATAATGTTTGTAGAATGACCACAAGTAGGCGGATGAGATGTGCTATCCGTGAAACTGGATATGGGCCGTGTGGTTAGAGTTTGGCTAGTTGAAGCTTGTGAACCTTGATCACTTAAAAGACTCATGAGCCCGAAAACTTGTTCTTGAGTGAGAGATACCGTGGACAAACTTGATTGCACATTTAATGCTGAATCTAGAGCCGATACATTTGCACTTGGGCCTAGAGAAATGGATGACACACTATTGACATATCTAGAATTTATGGTGTCGAACCATGAGTTATGTGATCTGCTATCGCTCGAGCTATTTCCGATAAATCCTCTAGACTTTGTAAACTTGAAATTTTTTGAAAATCCAAAGATTTTATAGCACTTGTCCTTATTGTGACCAAGCTTGCCACAAGTATGAATAAGTCGGTTGCATTCTCCTTCCATTCCCGTAAAACGCAGCCATGGTAGAGTATTCATTCGGAGGATGGTTAATGACTTGCATCGTCCTATGAGACTCCTCTCTTAAGGCCAAATTGTATACCTCATCCAAGCTTGGAATTAGTTTCATAACCAAAACCCGGGATTTCAATGAAGTAAATGACTCGTTTAGTCCATTTAAGAACTTGAATACGTAGTCTTTCTCCCGGACATCCATAAATTTTTGAAAGCGAGCATTATTGCAATTTCCATATGAACAATGTGGAAATAGCCAAAAACTTCTCGCTTCTTCCCACACTCGGTTCGATTCAATAAAATAAATTATCACAAGCTTAGTACCTTGGTTGATTGTACAAAGAGACCATTGAAGATTGCGGATTCATGACTCATCCGGTTGAGAAAATCTTTTCTTCAAAACCGCCTAAATCGCTCGATTGAGTTCATGTAAAACACCGTCAAAGCAATCGAAGGGGACAATGATCTTAACGACCATGCTACAATCAAGTCGTTACAACAACTCTAAGAATTGAACAATTGATCTTCATCCTTGGGTTTAGGAATAGAACCATCCATAAACCCTAATTTGTTATGAATGGATAGTGCTAATGCAAAAGATCTCGCTCCAAGTAGGGATGGCAATGGGCGGTACAAAATGGGTACCCTACCCAGCCCGTCAATTAATTATCCTTTTAAAATACCCTAATGGATAATGGGCTAAACATGGGTAAAATACTATTACCCATTTATATTAATGGAAAATTTATCCATGAATATGGGTATCCTTTTTTACCCTCGCTAATACCCATATTTTACCCACTAACATAAAAAAAAAATACTAAAATAAAAAATTTTAAAATAAATAAAGGAAAGGGGAAAAAAATACATTCCTTTGTTTTTGGTTGTCAAAATTTTTCAAAAATCATTTTTAATAGCTATTAGTTTCGGTTTTGATTTTTTTCGGACAAAAATTTAAAACAAACAAATTTTCTCAGCTTTTGTTTTCAAGAATTTGAAAACGAAAACCACAAATAATCCAATTTTTTTTTTTTTTACAATTATATATACAAAGGAGTAATTTATACATACAATATTTATACTCGTAGTCTACTTGGCCTAATGCTTATTGATATTAATTTAATTATTGTAATTATTATTATAATGATGTTGTTAATTAATGGTTTTCATTTTTCTAATTGAATAATAATTTGGTGCGAGAGATGAAGAGAGTGATGAAAATCTTTTCACGGTTCCGGATGTAGAAGCTCTACCACCAACAGAGTCTCATCGCCACTACTACTACAAGTAGTGAATAATAACGCTACTACTTACGGTAATAAGAATACTAATTATAATAATAATCTAGAGGTTCAATCCACAGCGATAATGAGAGAAATAAAAAAATATATATAATAATTTAAAAAATAATATATATATATATAACCAATTTTCTTTCCTTATCCTTCATTTTAAACTCGATTTATAGAAAATAAAAAAAATATAATAATTATTCAACTTAGTACATATTTATTTATGATACTAAAAATAATAATTTTTATTTTATAATCTAATAAAAATTTTAATATATAAAAAGATTTTAGATAAAAAGAGTTTGTAACAAAAAAAAATTGAAAAAAATTCAATTTAAAGAAAAAAATTAGCGAGTAAATGGGTATGGACGGAGTATGGGTAGGGTATGATATAATGGATATGGGTTGGGTAAAGAAATGGGCAAATGATTTTTAGTGGATAATAGGTATAGTATTTTTTAGTGGGTTGGGTAAAGAATTGGCTTAATGGGCCGAGTACCCAACCCATTGCCACCCCTAGCTCCAAGCTGCATAGTTCTCTGTGGTGAGTTAAGAAGTAACCACTAAGGAACCATGGTGATCCGAATGGTGAACATAATACAAAGAGTAAGAATCATCCTTCGAGCAACACTATCTCACCACTACGATTCTACGATTCCTCGATGGATGAAACCTTCAAGAAATGAAGAAGAAGAACACGAGAAATTTAGAAATTGTAGGAATAGATCTTCAAATCTAAACTTTAGATCTCACGAGGCTCGATACCATATTGAAATCTTGGATTGTAAACAAGAATCGGATCCAAGAAGTCTAGTGAATCTTGAATGAATAAGCTAGACGAGTAGCGAGATGAAGAACAGAGAAACGAGAGGGAAAATGTGATTTTGAACACCGAGCTTCCTTTTCATCTCTTTACTGTTTCTTTATATATACAAGTTGACTTAACCATCAAAACTAACTTATAACCAACTAACTGACCTTCTAACCAACTAATTAACCTTCTAACTAACTTCTAATTAATTACAATTAATACTAATTATATACAGCTATATACAGCTGCACACTCTACACACGTGTGCTTTGCATACTCCTAATATTTACCAAAAAAATTTATGCAGGAGCTCATAGTCTTAAACGTAGTTCATTTCTTAAATCAACTATCAAGACAAATACTTTAACAATTCTGTTACAGAGGTTGTCATAAACTGAGCTCATGTTTTAGCTTTTTAGGTAAGCAATGATGAACTATAGCCCAACTACCAGGCAATGATGATATCAAAATTTTGGTTAAACATAATCCAAATTTCAAAGAAAATTAAAGATGCACTAATTAATTTAATTACAAAATAAAAGGTGTGAAATCTCTAGTTTGAATCTTCTCGTTATTATCGAGCTATAATTAATTTCGGAAAGGAAATTGATGATGTGAATTCTAGGAAAACTAGTTTGAAAAGAAAGAATTCAAAGCACCTGGTTTTCATGAAATTAATTAGAAATAAAAAGTGAAAGACGTGTCCATTTTCTCTATTATTAATATTAATATCAATACAAAAAATGACGAGTCACGTACGTATTTGAAAGAGTCAACTAGTGTTATAAATTATCAAGGAAAACATATTATAGTCCCTTTAGTTTCGATAATTTTATAAGTTAGTCCTTATGGTTTTGAAAATCATAAATTTGATTGTTAATTCTTTTGAAATTTCAAAATTACTCTTTAAAAAGAAATCGTCTATAATTGGTGAGGTTGAATTTTTTCTGTATAAATGAAGGAAATTTGAAAAAAATAATAAAATGTCATAAATAATCAATAGAATGACTAAATTAGAAATAAATTTATAAATATAGGGACTCAATGTTATCTTTTTAAACTAAAGGGATCAACTAATTATTATTCAAGAAAATATGGCAGGTGGTGGTCAGACTCAAATAATGCAGAACTTGTCGGTAACGGCAAAATAATTTTATTCCTTGAATTCCATTACCATTACATTTGTTGTCGTTTTTTACCAAAGAAAACGTTGTCGTAGGAGTTTACCAAGTTCTTAAAAGTGCTTGTATTTTAATCAAGTGGGTCAACTTTTATTTCACTGTCTATACTTTTTTTTATTATTATTATAGGGTCTCTATTTTTATTTTTCTATTAAGTGTTTATACTTTTTTTTTTATTAAGTGTCTTTGTTAGAATTTATTAAAATTATTCATGACGTGTCTGTTAAATAGACATATAACATATTTATTGTAGGACTTCCGATTCATAAAATTAAAAATTTTGAAAAATGTGGAACTCATACAAATGTGAAAAATTTGAAAACAAAACTTGATTTTGGTTAAATTAATTGGTTATAAGGTATTATGAACTATTGGATAAAAAAAAACCTTTTAACTTTTTTTTTAATTTAGGTCCTTAATTTTTTTGGTCCGTAAGTAAATTTTTTTATCTCATTAATCAATTTTAAGTAACATGAAATAAGTTTAAAACTATTAAAATAACGATACATGTTAAATACAAAACATATACCATTATTTTTATAGCTTCAAATGCTTTGAGATGCATGAAATATAACTTGACATTAATTAACGGAATAAAAAAAAAACTTAATCACATATCAAAAAGAAAGTTAGAGACCCAAATTAAAAAAGAAAAAAGAAAAAAAGGGTTAGACTTTGCTTCTATTGACCAATAAGTTCATGATATTTTATACCCAAATAGTTTTTTGGTTAAAACTTATAACCTTTGTGTTTTGCGAGAAAAAAACAAAAAAAGTCAGAGACTTTTCTCCTATTAACTAATAATTCAGAACACTTTATACTAACTTTTTGTTTAGAACTTGTAACCTTTTAAGTGGTTTGTTAGCAGACAAGAGCAAAGAAGACTGAATTGGACAGACAAGGATAGAACGGAACAAGATTTTTCAATGAAGAGAGGAACAGCATAGGGAACAGAACAGAAAAAGAAATGAAGAGTATTTTGCAGTTCATAAAACAAGAACCTGGACTAGTTGGAATGAAGAATATTATGCAATTCTACATTTAACAGAAAAGGAATTTTATTCGTGATAAAAAATGAAAAAAGAAGAGGAATTTTGTTAGTCTGGTGCGCCTGCTAGTGCTAAAGACTATTATAATATCTGAAGTGTAATTTTCAGCAAATGCAGAGTTGGAATTACTTTAACAAGCAACTTGTAACATGAAGGATTGCTCCTTGTGATGAATGGCTACCTAAATTACTATGTTACCAAGTCTTTGTTTCCTTGTTAGACTGGAATTAATAGGTCAAGGAAGATGTTTTCTTCGGATCATGGAGCTTTGAATAATTCCTGATAGCTAGATAGTTTACCACCTTTAACTAAAGGAATGATTCGTACCTATTTTGAAGGTGATTCGATGCTAGAATATTACTACAGCCTCCTCATGGATTCCTTAAATGATAAGTACAAGTTGGTTTTCTATTAGCAAAGAACCTAGTTCTTCATCACCTAGTTAGTAGGAGGAAATATCTTAAGTAAAAGCTATTTCTATTTACTCCTAGTACTGCATCAAGAAGAGGAAGAAAAACAGGAAAGAAGACATACGTGTGGGTTGATCATTAGGAGGAAATATCTTAAGTACAAGCTATTTCTATTTTCTTCGGATCATGGAGCTTTGAATAATTCCTGATAGCTAGCTGGGTTACCGCCATTAACCCAAGGAATGATTCGTACCTATTTTGAGGGTGATTTCGATGCAAGAATATTACTACAGCCTCCTTATGGATACCTTAAATGATAAGTACAAGCTGGTTCTCTATTAGCAAAGATCCTAGCTCTACATCCCCTAGTTTGGAGGAGGAAATATCTTGGGTTCAGAAAGGGCAGAATCTTAATTACAAGCTGTTTCTATTTACTCCTAGTATTGCATCAAGACGAAGAAATAAAAAAAGGGAAGAGGACGTACGTGAGGGTTGATCATTAGTTGGTGGTGAACCTTGGCATGAAAATTCTTGAGGTTGATCTGCGCAATAACAAGCGAATGCTGCAGTATTCTGGTTGTACCCACACTGACCACCTGAATCTTTGCATGTAACGCATAAGTTATCTTTTGCATTCCACTCCAACCCAAAACCTTGATTAAGAGCTCCAACCAACTTTGGTACAGTTGCATTTGATAGAATTGACTGCAGAGCTGATTGACGTAGTGGAACTATAACTCTATTTTTGCACGATACCAGGTAACTGATTAACGGAGGAGCAGAGCTACCGAGAAAAGAAAAGTTGGTTGTTGCTGCAAAGTAGCCCGTTGTATTAGTACTGTCTATGTTGCATGTAAACGGAGTTAAGATCCCGGGAATTGGTGGAACTTGAGCAGGGCAAGCATAGTAGATTGTCATGTTATGATCATCCTGCGTGTAATTCAAAAGGTTGGGATTAAAGGTTGTGTTGAAAAGTTGTGTCGGACAGATATTTTCTGCATAATCTGTTCGAGCAACCATGAGAGTCCGTGTCTGGTTATTGACGTCAAGGACTTTGTAAGTCACTTGCATAATTGTGATCTCCGGATCTTGTTTACTGCAATCGATCTCGAGCTCCGGATAGCCACAGTAATCAGGCCTATTGGATCCCCAGAAAGGATAACCAATATTCTTAATAATTCCGCAATCAAATGAGTTGCTGCAGCTTACATATCGTTCATCTTCTTGAGGAAACACAAGTTTTGAACCACAGATAAAGATCATGGTTATGCATATGATAAACCTAGACATGGCTGAGAGGAGATGGGGCTGCATTTTCACATTGAGAGGGATCGAGAGGAGATAAACGGAAAAACAAAATAGACGGAAGTAATATTACTCCACCATTATAATAGAATTGGTATTATTGGACCAAGTAGGTGTTAGAAATTTGTCAAAGAGAAGCTTCTATTAGGATGGTAAGAGTGGCATGAATGCAAATTTAGGTGACTAGGAAAATCAACAGGTCATTTTTTTCAGTAAGATAAGATAATTTTTAATGTGTATTTTGAATTTTCATAAGTCAGATTATGTTTTCAAGTGGCTGGTTTATTTGACTCTCTAGGATTCCTATTCAGCCATTGCTTTCAAGTTTCAGGTCTTATATACCTTCTTAATTGCTGTGCTACAACCTTACGGCAATCTGGTGTATGGATATACACCAAGAAGATAACCAAGTCTGAGCATAACATATGATGCCGACTTTTCGGAGGAAGAAGCAGCTTGTTTTTGATTTTGTAAGAATATGCCGAAACCCATAATTCAGTTTCCGGTCCGAACTTCTATAACTGATCGGAATTAATATTGATTTTACTATTTTCAGTATAAAAAACTTCATCCAAGAAGCTCCAATGAGAAACTTAACAAGCGACTGTGACTCAATAAATACAAATAGAAAATCATCAAAAGAACTGACAAAATACTGAAAACAGGTATAGAAAAGAATTTTTGAGAGCTGACAAACAGGAAAGTCAGAAAAACCAAAGAATATAATAAGGCATGCAGATAAAAATAAAGATCTTGTGATGTTATGATATTCTAGGTTCCAGTTGCCAAGCAAATGTTGTCAATGGTTCACAATGACCGTCATGTATGCCATCTAAGGCCAAATCAGATGAAAACAGAAGGTGAGAATTTGGTTTGGATTTTAAGTTGTTAGACTATAATATTGTACCAGGAAAAAGACCATCAAATAATTAACAACCACAAATGACATTATCAGAAAGACCATTATATCTACAATATGTACTCATTTTCTAGATCAGCTTGTAAATTTCTTTGTGTTACCCTACCATCCTTTTCCCATAATTTTAAGTTGATATATCCAAACTGAATATTCTTAAAATTACTGCTTTGGGGGGTGCAAGTCGTTTCTTGGATGAGATCTTTCCTGAAGCACCATTATTTCTCCTATTATTTATGCAAGCAGTGGTAAAAATATGCCTGCCAGCCTCCGATCTTTCACTAAGCACTACTTACTATGGTGTCAAAATTGACAGATCCTTTTGCATTGTATATTTGACCGGTACTTTGTCAGTCCAGCCGTCTAGGAATTTGAACAGGTCCATAAGGCAATAATCACATGCATATTAAAAATTGTTGGGGCCTGGACTAATTGTAGTTCACTAATCAAGGAACCTAGACTAGTGGGAATGAAGAGTATATTGCAATTCTTCATTAACTAGAAATAGTCTTTGAAGGATGATTCTCAGAAAATACTATGTTGGAAATACTTTAATGATTGCTCCTCGTGAGAAACAGCTACCTAAATTTCCATGTTATCAAGTCTCTGTCTCCTAGGTAGACTGAATTTAATTGGTCAAGGAAGGTGTTCTCGTCAGGATCATGGAACTATGAATAATTCCTAATAGCTAGCTAGGTTCCTTCCTCTACTCAAAGGAGCGATTCGCACCTGTTTCTATTACCAAAGATCATCCTACATCACCTAGCCTGGAGGACATATCTTACTTTTAAATTCTATCTATTTATCCTATTTTGCCATCAAGAAAAGAAACTGGAAAGAGGACATACTTGTTGATTGACTAGGCGGTGATGCTGCGCAATTAAATTCTCGAGGTTGATCCGCACAATAACAAGTGAATGCTTTAGTAGTCTGGTTGTACCCACACTGCCCACCAGAAAGGTTGCATGTTTCACATAAGTCATCATTTGCATTCCACTCCAACCCAAAACCTTGATTAAGAACTCCAAGCAACTGTTCTACGGTTGTAATGTCTATATTCGGCAGAATAGCTGATTGATGTATTGGAACTTTAACGCTATTATTGCATGTTGTCAGGTAGCTGATTAAGCTAGGAGCCATTATAGCAAGTCTAGAGAGGTTGGCTGTTATAAAGTAGCCCATCATATCAGTCTCCTTAATGGTGCAAGTAAACCGAGCGGAAAGCCCTTGCGGACTTGGAGCAGGGCAACCATAGTACAGTGTTACCTCACCATGATCTGAAGTATATTCCAAGGGGTTTTGTGTAAACAATATCAGTTCATGGGCAAGATAAGAAGAAAAAAGAAGTTACAAAGAAGGAAACGTAAAACGAGCATGAGAAGCCAAAAACAGAGTATCACACTTTGATATTCTGGTACAAATATATACATGGTACTATAGCACATATTATTGTAGCAATACCAACTCGGATTACAAAAAGTATTTCAAAACAAAATCCCACAAAATAAGGAGTTTCACTCCTTTTAAACTAACCAAGGGTTACAAAAGGATACTTAAAGTATCTAGAAAATTCTCGCATTCTAACACTCCTCCTTGAGAATTTTCTTGGAGACTCCAAGCCTTGATCGTAGCTCTTCAAATTTGGCTTTGGAAAGTGCTTTAGTTAGTATATCGACAATCTGATTTTCCGAGCAGCATTGAATCGATTGATCTCACCATTTTTCTCTCGCTTCTCTTATTGCATGAAACTTCACATTGATATGTTTAGTTCTTCCATGCTGCACGGGATTCTTTGCAATAGCTATGGCTGACTTGTTATCAACCCAAATTACAGTAGCATCATCCGGACTTTGCCCCAAATTTGTCGCAGATTTCTTAACCAAATTGCTTGGTTTGCAGTGCTCGCTCGCAAGAACATACTCGCCTTCGCCGAGGATTGAGCCACCACGTCTTGCTTTCTTGAATTCCATGAAAATACTCCACTTCCAAATGAGAAAGCATAACCGGAAGTGCTCTTGGAATCATCTATACTTCCCGCCCAATCACTATCCGCAAATCCTTAGAGCTTATTACTTTCTTCTTTAACAAACCATAAACCATAATCAAAAGTACCTTCGATATATCTTAAAACTCTCTTAGCCGCACCAAGATGAATTTGACTCGGTGAGTGCATAAATCTAGAGAGCAAGCTTGCAGAGAACATTAAATCCGGCCTTGTAGCAGATAAGTACAACAAACTACCAATTAGGCTTCGTAAACGAAGCATCCGTTTTGCTCGGCAACATCATCCTTTGATAATTTCTCATTCACAATCAATGGAGTTGCCACTCGGTTTGGATCTTTCCATATGAAACTTCCTCAAAACTTCCGGAGCATACTTTTGTTGTGAGATGAAGATTCTAAGCATCACTTTGGTAAATTTCCATGCCCAAAAAATACTTCATCTCACCCAAATTGGTCATTTCAAAATCACTCTCCATCTGCAAGCATGAATTTCTTCAAGATTTCGGAATTATAACCCGTAACCAACGTGTCATCTACATACAAAGAGACAATAAGCTGAATTTCATCTTGAACCTTCATCACATATAAAGTGACTTCACTTTCACTTCTTTTGAATCCTTGTTGCAGCAAATAAGCATCAATTCTACAATACCAAGCTCTTAGTGCTTGTTTTAAGCCATAGAGAGCTTTGTGGAGCTTGTAAACTTTTTCTTCACTACCCGAAACCTTAAATCCTTCCGGTTGCTGAACATAAATATCATCTTCAAGCACACCATTTAGAAAAGCCGACTTCACATCGAGATGATGAATTTTCCAGCCCATCTTTGCTCGCTAAAGCCATTAAAAGCCCGATAGTATCATGCCTAGCAACCGGAGCAAAGGTTTCTGAAAAATCAACACCATACTCTTGAAAATACCCCTTTACAACCAATCTAGCCTTAAGTTTGTTTACGTAACCATCCGGATTATATTTGGTTCCGAAAACCCACTTAACACCAATGATCTTCCGATTTTCGGGCTTTTCCACCACCTCCCAAGTTCTATTCTTATTTATCATTTTTAGCTCCTCCTCCATTGCAAGTCTCCATCCATCTTCTTTAACGACTTCATCATAATAAGTAGGTTCATATAATACTACATCACATCTCTCGTAGATTTCAGCAAGTGGCCTTGTTCCTTTTATCGGAACATCATCAAAGTTATCGACCCAATTTCATCTTCTACTTCTTCTTGAACTTGGGGTATGGTTGCCCCAATTTGATCAACATCTATGGCTTCTATTTCATTTTTCTCCCGGCTCCATGCTCGTTGCTTCATCAACTTTGATGTCCCCGCTAATGATTAATTTCTCGCTTTCAAATTGAAAACTCTATAGCCCTTAGAGGTAGAGCTATATCCACAGAAGATTCCTATCTCAGCTTTGTAGTCCAGACTTGTCTCTTTTCACATCCGGCACATAAGTATAACACAAACTCCCAAACACTTTAAGGTGCTCCACATCCGGTTTAACTCCATACCAAGCTTCAAATGGAGTTTTGTCTTTCACAACCTTGGTTGGAAGTCTATTCAATAAATATATAGCTATGTTAACAGACTTCGCCCAAAAACACTTAGGCATCTTCTTCTCAAATAGCAGACACCTTGCCATCTCCATAGCAGTTCTATTCTTTCTCTCACTTACTCCATTTTGTTGAGGAGAGTAAGTGACGATAAGTCGATGTTCAATTCCAGCTTCAACACGTAACTCGTCAAATTTAACCGATGTATATTCGGCTCCATTATCCGATCTTATCACCTTGATGCCGCAATTTGCTTGATTTTCCACTAAAGCCTTGAAAGTCCGAAACACATCAGCCCACTTCGACTTTTGCTTCATAAAGTAAACCCAACACATCCTTGTATAATCATCTATGAACAAGATGAAGTACTGCTTCCATTCGGAGAAGGTATCTTCATTGGTCCACACACATCGATATGGATCAATTGCAACCTTTCGAAGCTCTATAGGCCTTGTTAACGGAAATGGCAATCCGCTTTGCTTCCCAAATTGACGGACTTGACATACATTTTGTTCATCACTAATGACCGGTAGGCCATTAGCTAAGTCTTTCCGATGCAAGTGTTTGAGTGCAAGCATAATGAAAATGACCAAACCTCTTATGCCATAACATAGACTTATCAACAACAAGTGGTATAAGCATGCAAATTAGTCTCTTTCCACTTAATTGGAAAGCTTTTTTCTCTCATTTTTACAATCATCAACTCACAACCAAGCATTATCAACAATGATGCAGCACTTATTTTGAAAATACGGAGAATAATTCTTCTCTAGCATTTGACCCACACTTAACGTACTTTGGCTAATATCGAGTACAAACAATACATCCGAGATATATTTAATACTCGTTGAAGTCTCAACAAGAACAACTCCCTTGCCTTTGACATCAACCAATTCTCCATTCCCAATCTTCACTTTGGACTTGTATGATCGATCCAACTCCATGAAATTGCTTAATTCGAGAGTTATATGGTTTGTGCGACCACCGTCAATAAGTCAAGTTTCTATATAGTTGTTTGTTGCATGACTCGTAGCTACAAACAACTCGCTCATGTTCGTCGCTGCGTTTCAGCCATTTGTGTTTGTTGTCCCCGCCGCCCTTGTTGATCTTTTTTATTCTTGCATACCTTCTCTACATGGCCAAATTGCTTGCACGATCCGTATTGCACACCGTGCCTAAACCAAGCAATAATTCTCCGAATGACTCTTCCTCTTGCAATGAGGACATGGTGGATACCTCCTTTTGCCACCACTTCTACTTCCTTGGCCCTCATTCTTCTCCTTCTCTTTGTTCTCACCCAACTCGCTTCTTCTCTCCCTTTCGAGGAGCTTTTCCTTTTGCTTCGCAAGAAAAGCCTTTTCACTACCTGTCTTCCTCTCTCATTGATCTTCTTTGTTCTTGAGCTTGAAAAGCATGAACAAGCTCGCCAAGGAAATCTTGGTTAAATCCTTTGAGACTTCAAGAGAAGAGATCTTGGACTCAAATCTTTCAAGCAAGCTTACGAGAACTTTCTCTACAACCCTTTGGTCCGTTAAATCCTCACCAAGAAGCTCGATTTTGTTAACAACTTCCATGAGCCTATCTACGTATTCTTTGATGGACTCATTATCTTTCATTCTCAAGACTTCAAATTCCCTCTTCAAATTCAGAATCTGCATTTGCCTTGTTCCGTCACTCCCCATATACATCTCCTCGAGCTTGTCCCAAGCCTCTTTTGGTGTTTCACAAGCCATAATCCTTGTGAAAATTGATTCCGACACAGCGAAGCATGAATATAAGATAAAGCTCTTGGAGCTTTAGCTTCTTCTTCTTCATGAGCCCCGATTTGATTAAGAGTAGGATTGTTTCCCAAAGGAGGTATTTGTTTTTCAGTTTCAACCCATTGCCACAAACCAAGACCTCTCAAGTGAGCTCTCATTTTGACAGACCCAAACTTGATAGTTGTCACCATTGAAAACTCGGGGGTGAAAGAGGCATTGTGTTGCTTGGAAGCCATGAGAGTTTAAGGTTTGAGTTTTTTAAGGTTTTTTGGTGAGGAATCCTTGCTGGTGTTCTCTCTTAGTCACTCACAGGACCTTTAAGATATTTATAAGCTCCGATACCATGTAAACAATATCAGTTCATGGGCAAGATAAGAAGAAAAAAGAAGTTACAGAGAAGGAAACGTAAAACAGAGCATGAGAAGCCAAAAACAGAGTATCACACTTTGATATTCTGGTACAAATATATACATGGTACTGTAGCAAATATTACGGTAGCAATACCAACTCAGATTACAAAAAGTATTTCAAAACAAAATCCCACAAAATAAGGAGTTTCACTCCTTTTAAACTAACCAAGGATTACAAAAGGATACTTAAAGTATCTAGAAAATTCTCATATTCTAACATTTTGATCCAAAGAGGTGCTGGAAAGGAGAGTTGGACAGAGATTTTCTGTGTAATCTGTTCCAGAAACATTGAGAGTCCGCGACTGATTATCGATACCAAGGACTTCGTAAGTCGATTGCATGATTGTGATCTCCGGATCTTGGTTACTGCAATTGAGCTCCAACCCTGGATAGCCACAGTAATCTTGCCTATTGGATCCCCAGAAAGGATAAGGAATATCCTTAATATTTCCGCAATCAAACATTTTGCTGCAGTTTAGATATCGCTCATCATCAGCAGCAAACACAGGTGTTGAACCACAGACAGAGATTATTATGGCTTTGAATAGGATAAACCGAGACATGGCTGGAAGGAGATGCGGTCGCATTTTCGGATAGACAGAGAAAGCTGTTCTTCAAGTATTGGGTTAAATGGAAAGACAAATAGATGGAGGTTATTTCACTCAACCATCATAATAGAATTGGCAGTACGTATTTGACCAGAGCAGGGGGTTGAAATTTGTCGAAGAGAAGCTTCCATTAGAATGGTAAGAGTGGCATCAATGGAAATTTAGGTGGCCCAGCAAACAGACAGGTCATTTTGTAAGCAGGATAAAATAATTTTTAATGTTTCTTAGGAATCCTGATGGTCAAATTCTGTGGCCTTGTTGATTTTTCTAAGTTTCAGGTATTATATACCTTTGTACTATCTGTTCTACGGCCTATACGGCAAGATTGGTAGATAAATACCAAAAAGATTTTTATTTTTGTTTACAAGGTTTATTAAACCTTTAAACTCTTGCTGGGCTTTTTGGTTTGGGAGTTCACTGCACTGCACTACAGTATCTTATTCATCTTAGTAATAGGTCAGTTTTTTCCCCCTTTCCTATGGTGGACATTTTCTATTCCAACACTCCAATCACAAACCGTCATTCTTTTCTAAAATTGTTAAGTGGATATATAGTAACTTATCCCTCCAATTCACTGACTCATACCATTGCATGTGGTTGATCTCTCTATCCATACAACTGTGCTTGTTTTTTTTTCCTTGGCTCCAACTTTCCCTCTCTCGCTCTCTCTCTCTCTCTGTCTTTCTCTTCTTCTTACTTCATGTATGTGGTTCTTTTACACCACACCATCTCATGTGTAAAGACCCATCTTCACTTTGTGGTACCACGCCATCTCGTTTTGTGGGCTTGTCAACTTGCACTTACACCCCTTCTTGAGCTTTTCTTTCTTTCTCCATCTCTTGATGCAAGGTCAACTTGCACTCATGCTTACTTGGACTTCTTTCTTTCCCCATATTCAAAGGCTCCTTGTGATGAATGGCTACCTATATTACTATGTTACCAAGTCTTTGTTTCCTTGTTAGACTGGAATTAATAGGTCAAGGAAGATGTTTTCTTCGGAAATTGGAGCTTTGAATAATTCCTGATAGCTAGCTGGGTTACCGCCATTAACCCAAGGAATGATTCGTACCTATTTTGAGGGTGATTTCGATGCAAGAATATTACTACAGCCTCCTCATGGATTCCTTAAATGATAAGTACAAGTTGGTTTTCTAATAGCAAAGAACCTAGTTCTTCATCACCTAGTTAGTAGGAGGAAATATCTCAAGTAAAAGCTATTTCTATTTACTCCTAGTATTGCATCAAGAAGAGGAAGAAAAACAGGAAAGAGGACATACGTGTGGGTTGATCATTAGTTGGTGGTGAACCTTGGCATGAAAATTCTTGAGGTTGATCTGCGCAATAACAAGCGAATGCTGCAGTATTCTGGTTGTACCCACACTGACCACCTGAATCTTTGCATGTAACGCATAAGTTATCTTTTGCATTCCACTCCAACCCAAAACCTTGATTAAGAGCTCCAACCAACTTTGGTACAGTTGCATTTGATATAATTGACTGCAGAGCTGATTGACGTAATGGAACTATAACGCTATTTTTGCACGATACCAGGTAACTGATTAACGTAGGAGCAGAGCTACCGAGAAAAGAGAAGTTGGTTGTTGCTGCAAAGTAGCCCGTTGTATTAGTGCTGTCTATGTTGCATGTAAACGGAGTTAAGATCCCGGGAATTGGTGGATCTTGAGCAGGGCAATCATAGTAGATTGTCATGTTATGATCATCCTGCGTGTAATTCAAAAGGTTGGGATTCAAGGTTGTGTTGAAAAGTTGCGTCGGACAGATATTTTCTGCATAATCTGTTCGAGCAACAATGAGAGTCCGTGCCGAGTTATTGATGCCAAGGACTTTGTAAGTCAGTTGCATGAATGTGATCTCCGGATCTTGGTTACTGCAATCAAGCTCGAGCCCCGGATAGCCACAGTAATCAGGCCTATTGGATCCCCAGAAAGGATAACCAATATTCTTAATAATTCCGCAATCAAATGAGTTGCTGCAGCTTACATATCGCTCATCTTCTTGAGCAAACACAAGTTTTGAACCACAGATAAAGATCATGGTTACGCATATGATAAACCTAGACATGGCTGAGAGGGGATGGGGCTGCATTTTCCACATGGAGAGGGATTGAGGGGAAAAATTCTTTAAATGTTGAGATAAATGGAAAAACAAAAATAGATGGAAATAATATTACTCCACCATTATAATAGAATTGGTAGTATTGGACCAAGTAGGTGTTAGAAATTTGTCAAAGAGAAGCTTCTATTAGGATGGTAAGAGTGGCATGAATGCAAGGTGACTAGGAAAATCAACAGGTCATTTTTTTAGTAAGATAGGATAATTTTTTATGTGTATTTTGAATTTTCATAAGTCAGATTTTGCGCCGTTGTTATGTTTTCAAGTGGCTGGTTTGTTTGACTCTCAAGGATTCCTATTGAGCCATTGCTTTCAAGTTTCAGGTCTTATATACCTTAATTGCTGTGCTACAGCCTTACGGCAATCCAAGAAGCAGCTTGTTTTCGATTTTGTAAGAATATGCCTAAACCCCGTAATTCAGTTTCCTGTCGGAACTTCAATAACTGATTGGAATTATTGATTGTACTACTTTCATCATGGAAAACTTCATCCAAGAAGCTCCAATGAGAAACTTAACAAGCGACTGTGACTCAGTAAATACAAATAGAAAATCATCAACAGAACTGACAAAATACTGACAACGTGTATAGAAAAGAATTTTGAGAGCTAACAAACAAGAAAGTCAGAAAAACAAAGAATATAATAAGGCATGCAGATAAAAATAAAGATCTTGTGATGTTCAAGTTGCCAGAGCAAATGTTAATGATTCACAACCGCAATGTATGCCATCTAAGGCCAAATCACATGATAACCGGAGGTGAGAATTTGGGTTTGGATTGTAAGTTGTTAGACTATAATATTGTACATGGAAAAAGACAATCAAATAATTAATAGCCACAAATGACATTATCAGAAAGACCATTATATCTATAATATTTACTCATTTTCTAGATCAGCTTGTAAATTTCCTTCCGTTACCCTACCATCTTTTCCCCATGATTTTAAGTTGATCGATCCAAACTGAATATTCTTAAAATTACTGTTTCTAGGCTGTGTTTGTTTGGGGAAAAACAAGTTCCAATTTGTTTTCCTCATTTTTCAGTATTTGTTTCACATTCGGAAAAAAGTTAATGGAAAATGATTTCCAGTCAACGGAAAATGATAGAGTAATTTTAGAAAAATGTTTTTCTAGTTTTAAAAGAGAAAAACATTTTTCTTCTCACGAGTTGTCTCGCTCTCTCGTTATTTAACTCTCTTTCGATATATTTTAACAATTTTTTTCTCTTTCTTCTTTTTATTTAAAATATATCATATTAATTTTTAATTGTTTCTTATCAATTATTATTAATTATTTAATTATTGTTTCTCTATCTTTACTAATATTTGATTTTTTTGATTTATAAATACATTAAATATTCTTAAAAACCATTTTTACACCTTAAAATTATTTTTATAATTAATATTTCAATAACTTATCTCTTTTTTTTTTTAACTATTGTCTCAAACACTACCTAAGCTATAGTTAAATGATCGGAAATGATCATTACAAGACTAAGTTTTTGTAAATAAGAAATTAAAATTAATTAATTTATCAATAAATACATTATTTTTTCAACACTATTCATTTGCAATTAAATCAATAATTTGTAATTTTAATCAATTGTAAAATTTTGTTGGTAATTGTAATGAATAATTAGTTATAAATTATTCCAACATTAATCTTTTGAGATCAAATAAATAATTATCTATAAATGATAACTAATAATTTATAAAATTATTTTTTAGACTAAATTATTAGTTCAATTTCTTTTTAAAAAAAATTCTTAATTGAGTTACTAAAATAATAATGCTAGGATTACTTAGAATCTTTTTTTACTAAATATAAATATTGACTTAATTTTGTCCCAAGTAATTTTGATGATTTGGTTTGATTGTTAAAAAAGTACATTTTATTTTTTGAATTAAAATTTTAGAGTTAGTATTGATGAAAATTTATTAAATTTTTCTAAATGTATCTTATATTATGAAATTATGAATATGTCTTTCTAAAATTTTCTCCAAACTCGTTGATATAACAATCACATAAGTTTTTGTATTTTAATTTTCCGTATTAAACAAACGTTGAAATATATTTTTTAGCGAGTTTTTCATATAATTGCCAAAAACCAAAAAATATGTTCTTGGAAAACAATTTTCAAGAAAATAGCTTCTTCGGGAATTGATTTTCTTATGGAACTTGTTTTCTCCAAACAAACAAAGCTTTAGGGTTACAAGTTATTTGTCGGATGAGATCTTTCCTAAAGCACCATTTTAGTTACTCTATAGAGATAGATAGATAAATAAATAAAAAAAGTGAAATATGAGAGAGAAAATTATAAAAAAATTTGAGATAAAGTAAATTTTTTCTTATAAATAAACCTATAGAGTAATTAGCATGTATGCACACTAATTATTCTTTGAATATTATAAAAAATTTTATTAAACACCGCTTAAGGTGTCAAAATTGACAGATCCTTTGGCATTGTATATTTGACCGGTACTTTGTCAGTCCAGCCGTATAGGAATTTGCGCAGGTCTACATGCATGTTAAAAATTGTGGAAGCGGCGAATCACTTGTGCCTTCTCACTGATTAGGATTAAGAAAAGCTTTCAGGTCGATTTCAAGTTTCAGAAATTGACACGGATTAAAATACTCACTAATATTTAAGATAGTTACATAATTTACTACAGCACGTGATAGATATTGAGGGAGTACTTAATTCAGCAAACAGAGGAAAGACGCAATTCCCTGGATTATTTGCTTTAAAAACAAATCCTGAATACAGACAATTTCAGTTTTGTGAACATTTGGTGAGGGAGTCGCTGATATGATGAGTTTATCTTGGATTTTCTTGCCTCGGATAAAGTTTTCCTTTTTAAGAGTTAGTAAAATATTTAGCTTTGATCTAGTATGAAAGCATCCTAGACTTCTATGGGAGATGGTATGGAACTTGCTAAGACTAGTTGGTATGATAACGACACTACTGGCATCCATTTAACTAAGGTTTCGAAATGTTACGTGACCATTACCTAACAGGAAATTTATCCCTTACTACCATGGTCTAGTTTTGCAGTTTGAGCCTCGCTAGTGAGCTAGAAGTGGTTCTAAAAAAATGATAAAGATATTTGATTCTGTACCCAACACTCCAAGTATATTTAAAATAAAATTAAATGAAGAAAACAGGAAAGGAACTATGATGGAGTTCATAAAAACTGATTTGAGGAGTAGTTGAGATACATACCACATGTTTTTCATCCAGTACATTGATTTGGACAGTAAAAAGTTGTTTGATTTGTAACAGGGTCAATACCACAAACTCCTGAAGAATTGGTGCATTCCTCACATGCTGCCTTATCGACCTTCCATCTTACCTCGAATCCTTTTTTCATGTCTTGTTCCAAAGCTGGCCTATTCAGATACAGAAACTGGCACAAAGACACTACCATAACATTGCCCAGGACCAATAGCTCCTACTGCGAGATAACCAGTTTGATCATTAACCTGATTTATTTTGCAAGTGAATATGCTCCAGGAATATTAGGTATATTCCCGGGAGCAGCCATGCAACCATAAAGAAATGTAAGATTTGTGTAACCCTTGACAGACTGAAAAACCATTGGATTGAACGTGCTGTTTTCAAATATAGGCGTACAAAGTCCAGCCAAGTAGTCCTCTCTTGCAATCCTGAGAATTTCAGTATCATGATAGATTCCCAAAACACGATATGCGACCTCATTTATTTTCATCTTGGTGATATTATCCTCACACTTGAGCTCCAACTCAGGAATGCCACAGGCAGGTGGCCTGCCAGTTCCCCAAAAAGGAAAACCCGCAGAAATATCCCCACATACAAACTTATTACTACAGTCGAACAAGTCATTGTTGCTTAGAGATGAAGGAATTCCAATGAAGAGCAAGAATCCAATAACAAAAAATGAAAGAAAAGGAGATAACGAAAAAACTGAGGAATTCATGCTGGCAAAGAGGAAGTAAATTGAGCTTGGTTGTTCCAGGGAAAGTTGAGGGGATAAAGAAATGAGTTACTACACGATAAACATCATTTTAGGAAAATAAATACATCAGAAAGTGATAGATATTATGGATGCATTACTCAGAAAATTGCTCAGTTGACTTAAAACGTTTTTTTATGGAAAAGGGGTGACCACATTAGTCTCCACTTTGCTTTTATTTGCAAAATGAAGTATATCCACCATAAATCACTCTCTTGGAATATACAGAAAAGAATTAGTCAAGTAGACAAGTCCAATGCCGTATCCCCCACTAGGGTTTTGAATTTATTTTTTTCCCTACTATATAAGGTATATTTCATTTCATATGTAAGGTATATAACATAGTATGTTAAAAAAATCTATTATGCCTCACATCATTTGGTTTGTGTTTTACTTGGAAAAAAAAACACAGGTGAATTTGATATGATCAGTGGTGGTGTTTTAGATTATCAGAGTTGGAGCTTTTATTTTCTCACACTTGTTGCTAAATAATACGCAATATAATTTAGCTATTGTGTTAAATTTTTTTCTATAACTTCCATGTTTCTTAATAAACCTTGTTGTATTGCATAAGAAATTCACTTCCAAACAGGGATGGCAATGGAAAATTAAATCCCTTATCCTATTTAGTGTTGTTAGCCTGTTTCTCTCCAAACCAAGAAAAGCACATTGGGAAGCGGTAAAATGGATATTAAGGTACCTCAAGGGACTATGCTTTGGTAATGGTAAACTTGTGTTAGATGGATACAGATATACAGAGATGGCAGGTGACATGGATTCAAGAAAGACCACATCTGGATACATGATGACTTTTGCAGAGGGAGTTGTGTCATGGCAATCAAAGTTGTAAAAATGTATTGCCTTATTCAGCATAGAAGTGAAGTACATTGCAATAACAAAAGCAGCTAAGTAACTATTATGAATGAAAAAGTTCCTACATGAGTTAGGCTTCGAACAAGAAAAGCTTGTTCTTTATTGTGACAACCAGAGTGCAATCCATCTTAGGAAGAGTCTAGCATTTCATTTGGGATCCAAACACATTGATGTGAGGTATCACTCGGTTTCTGTTATTTTAATTTTATTCAATTGCACCCTTGACTGTATTTTCTAAACAATTATTCATATTTTTGTACATTTTTTCTCTATTTTTTGTATTTTTTATGTTAAAAAAAAAAGAAAAAAAAAGTAAACCTAATTTTTATGTTTTCCTTTTTCTCTTTTTTTTTTTTTAATTTTTGATCGTTGATTATTATTATTATTATTATTATTATTATTATAAAATAAATGATAAATTATAATAAAAACCTAAGAATTTAAGTAAGACCAAAACTAATAATAATAATAATAATAATAATAGTAATAGTAATAGTAATGATAATAATAACAATAAACATAAAAATAAATGTGCACTTGTAAAACAAAAATAAAATTATGAAATAAATAAATAAAATAATAAAAAAGGTCGCACACAGTTTTCGTTATGGCAATTATTAGGAATATGATGAACCAAGACATGACAGGAAAAGTAGGGTGTTGCATTTTCAGAGATGGAGAGAGGCTACATGGACACACAATCTGCTGGTGTTGGAGCAAATCGGGCCTGAATTTTTTCCATTACAATACCATACAAAAATTCCACCCGTGAATAGTACTGTTGAAAGGTCAAATGTTGACCGAAGATGTAGAATGTCTAGGTCCAGAGTAAGAAGCTTCATGCTGATAGCGCGAAGAAATTGTAGAGATTTCTCGCATCCTTTCGTCAACTCGTAGGCAACCGAGTTTTTACTGACCGCCAGTCCGGGAAGTTAGAAGCTTTCCATTTCCCGACCAAAGTCGTCCTCTAGCTCTGCAATGCTGGCATGGCACATTTTGATTTTGAAATCTCAAACTGCCGTCATCACTCAAGAAGAACCGTAGCAGGAAGCGCTGCACAAGCCTTTGGAGAGAATCAAGGCTCAGCATTTATTACTTGGTACGATCAAGATGAACATGGTTGCCTCTTTCTGTGCCCTCAACGAAGTACCATCATAAATGGGTAGCAGTTGTCGACGGAATTGAGTACGATAGGTTTTCTGATTGAAAGCCACTTGGGCTTTTGTTTCAGTTGCCTGAACATCTCTAGTGTTCTCATCGTCTTTGTAATCGGTTGGTGAATAGTCCCTCCCTTTTCTGACATGTATTCCTTTCATCTGTTTTTCATACCAATGGACATGTCAATTGCAGTTCAAAACGAAAAAATTTATTCGTGAGTTGCCCAGAGATGAAGGTTTTTACTTCCGAAACTGGCTGCTATTATGGCTAAGGAAATTTTCTCAAATCTACGGAGTAACAAAAACAGAGTTCACCACTGACATATTTTACTTAGTTCACCAGACATATGCCAGTTTCTCAAATCTACGGAGTAACGAAAACAGAGTTCATAGGAAAGTTGCAACACGTGATGGTTGAGAATACATCATTTTCATCTTCGAATGAACAACAGCTGATTCCACAGCAGAGTTAAAATACAAGATTTCGCTCAATTTGACTCATGTTCTAGGCATACATACAGATATAACATTTATGTTGAAAATTACACTCGATCTAATCATTTGTACTAGACTTGATGCACGTTGCAGAAGCAGGAGTGAAAAATAAATTATCTTCTCAGACTCAACCAATGCATGTATTTTATTTAAGAAGCTCTTGGTATAAATAATCACCAGACCAAGCCTTTTCTTCTTCTAAATCTATCAACACGGTCAGTGCTCATCCGAGACTTTTCAGGTTTATTTGGCTTCTTTGACTTCTCAAGCCTACTATCTAAACTATTTCTAGAGATTTCAGGAAGGTCACCCAATTCAAAAGTGTCTGAACTTCCACTCTCAGATGTTTTGTTCTGATTTTCGGACTCTGTTGTTTTCTTAGAACTGCTTGTAGCTGTTTTCGATTTGCCTATGGTCAAAACAAATTTCTTCAGATGCTTGATAAATTCTGGATAAAGCTCAAGATTGCAATGCCCACCTCCATTGATCCACAATGGTTCATATTTCTCTTTGCAAAGCTCCCAAAGCTGTTTCCCATGAGAGCAATCAACAACTTCATCTGATGTTCCCTGGAAGTTGTAAAAGAAATAATCTCTTATATCCATTAAAAAAAATTATTGGGACACTGATTTTGTCTTTATCTTCCACAAATGATACTTTCAGAGTGATGAGTCATAAACCTCTCTAACTACTAACTATGTCAGAACAATGGAATGTACATAAAAATAACTGCAAATTGAACAATATTACCAAAAAAAAAAAAATAGCAATCAAATGGAGGATCAACAATTATCAACCTTTTGTTTTATTCTTCTGACTGATAGAAGCAACAACAAAATCCACACTGGACTTGTCTAGACAAAACCATCTTGTTTAAGCAAGTACATGATTACCCGAATGCCAAAGTAGTTTATTGCAAACTACATGCCCAACGAAGTCAATTGGGCTGGATAGAGTATGCCATCCACTAGGTCTCATGCATCTAGTCAAACATTTTGTCCCCTTTACTCCATTATCACATCAAGAATTGAAAATTAAGGTTTAAATGAACCCTTGTTTTGTTATTTTACTTCGTCCTTGGCCTTTTATTCACTACATCATACCATAAATGCCGCAGGAAATGCTCATTTGTTAAGAATCAAATTGATGTACGTTGACAATGAACACAGGCTCATAGGAAAATCTTTTCCTTGTATTTTTTGCCGGAACACTAGAACATTGGTTTATGAGTTATGACTGCAACTAAAATTACATCCTGTTGAAGCTTCTGTTAATCCAGTGATGCTAAGAAATTTCCAATATTCATATCTCTGAAGGTTATGCAGCTGCTAATTTTACATATTATAATCTGAATTTGGTAATCTAGCACAAGAATAAAATCAAAACCCTAAGACCTGTGTCCCAGAGAGAGACTATTAACAACTCAAAAAAGAGACAAAAATTGAAGACAGGGGAGATAATACTTACATGAATTACGAGAACCGGACAGTTCACCATACCAATTTTGTCAATGTTCTGAAAGGAGAAAGTAACATAAGTGCTCGCACAGAGAATTAAACAGGTACATTTAATAGAATCAATGCCTCAAAAATTACCTTGTAAATGTCAAACCAGTAAGTCCTTTTGACTGGGTACAATACCCTCATCCCAGACAATATTGGGCTATGTAGAACCACAGCCCTCAAGTTTGGTAAACGTGAAGCAAGGTCGACAGTGGGACCACTACCAACAGACTGACCATACAATATTAGTTGATCATCTTTAACCCCATACTGCTCCTTGAGGCATTTATATGCCGCATCTATGTCCGCATATGTATTACATTCAGTTGGCTGCATCCAAAGAAAGGTGAATTGTGTTGAAAGCAATGTCACATAATTACAAGCAAACAACGCTAACCATTTGAGAAACCAAAGTTACCCAATATTTACATTTGATGCACATCTATAATGCCAAGCAGGTCCATGATTAACAGACAATTTTGAAGATGTAAAACAAAATGAACATGAAAATAATTAGAAAGTACATATAGCTCTTGCTTTATGGATGTAGTAGGAAAAATTGGCGAATCTATAAGCATAAGGAGAACTTTTGTACGCTTCATGTTTGAATTTGAACATCTAAATTCTGAAACAAGGACACAACCATACCAATAACCAAAGCACACTTAACAGCAAGGATATCTAAGCACGTCTAAGAAATGGATATCCATAACTGCATGTGAAATTGCTAAAGCTAGACCAGGCATAGGACTTTCTTTTGATCATTAGCAACAAGGAATAGGGAAAGCTGGTATAAACCTTTCCACTCGATTGCCCATAGCCAGAATAATCGTATCTGGGAAAAAGAAACATCAATACAAGATTAGAAATTAACCCCAAAACAAACTACAGAAATATGAAAATTGAAAAAGAAAAGAACACTATTTTTATGCCTGTATTTCTCCATTATATTACAACGGGAACAAGTAGACATGATATCATGTAGTGTTGGCAAGTAAATACCATACTTCTGCATTGTTTCGTAAGGCCTATCCTAAAAGGTAAAAACCATTCCAACGGTACTTTTTAAATTAAATCATGCCGAGTTAAAACAAAAAAACTACCTTTAAAGACCATAAATCATTCTATTTCACATATGCCAGAAAGAGCAGTAATTTTGCATCAATAAAATCAAGAGAACACAGAGAAAGTATCTACATGAAAGACTAATCCAATTCACTTCAGGATTTGCAATCGCCCCAACCGTAACTTCCATAACTCAATAAGCTTCCATCCACACTAAAATTCATATTAATTTTCAACAAACTCTCCCAAATCCCAACAGATGGGTAATGCTCAAAATAGCAATTGCAGACTTGTAGCCAAAAACCCACCTCTAAACCTCTCTTTCCACCATTAGAGTTCGCAAATTCACTTTCAGTACCAGTTGTACAAAAGTTCCTCTAACCACACGCACACATTACTTCCCCACCGTGGCAACAACGTCCACTACTAAAGAGTCCCCCCATCAAACTCAACCACAAACATTAAAGACCAAATCTTTTCTCCATCAAAAACCGAAACTATACAAATCCTCTCCCGTACGCTTGATTAATTAATGATATTAAAGCAATAAATCCAAGAAAATGCCAATGAAAATGCTTCAACCCACCCAAAAAAAAAAAAAACCAAACCAACACTCATAAAGCTCCTTACTTTACATTAATACAACTAAAAGAACTAAACCAAACCAAAGAATAACAGCATTCAAAAAAACTTCAAAAGGGAAAGAATTAAGGATCTAACCCCATGAGATTAATGCGAAGGCGATTACTCAATTCAACAAAAAGCTCAAACATTTGGCCCAAATCAGCTGCATTTCCATGAGAATACAACAAAGTAGCTGAAGCTCTTTGATGCTTAATATGAACAGCCACGATTTCATTTCCACGCCGAGTCCTCAACTTCAAAACATCCACGTCATCCTTCCTCGGCACCTGCGGTATACACAGCCTCGTAGCAGCACCACCACCAGACACAGCGGAGGAAGACTCATCAGTTACCACCGTGTAAGAAGGAGGACTTGGTGGAAAGAAAGCGAACTTCGCGGCAATTGTTGAAGTGACTCCGCCCATGTTGTTATTATCCTCCCTATCATCAGATGCTTTGGATTCATAAAAAAAGAACCCCTCTTCAGATCTTATCAAACTAACCAAGTCGTGGAGGCGCGTGAAGCAGGGAGAGTGGCGCGTGCAGCGGGTGAAGTGTGGTGTAAAAGTTGGATAAGGAATCTAAGGCTTATGAAAGTGTTTGGAGTTATAGCTTTCAGTTGTGTAAGAGCGAGATGGATGGTTCAGTTGGAAATTGTCGCCTGACGGCGACTTATTATTAAGAAGGGAGTGAGAGAAGGATGGGAGCTTTACTTTACACAGGAAAGCAAAATCTATAGTATATTCATCGTAGATCATCCAAGACCACTACAGTAGGGGAAGTTGGGATGTGTTAGGAAAATGGGGTCCATTCCTTTTTTGGTTTCTTGGTTTTGGTTGTGTGCGAGACTCTCCCAACTCCTAGCACCATTCCTCTTTCTAGCCATTTCTGATCCTTTTGGCATAGTTGTGGCTCGTTATGTGGTTTACGTAATTAGTTGTGCTTGTTATAATTGGTAAACCGATTTCAGTTTATAATATTCAAAAACTCAAAAGTCTGACTAAAGTTTTTTTTTCCTTATGATTTTCAGGATAATTTTTAGAATTTTATCCAATATTTTTTCACTAGTTTTTGAAAAGAAAGTTCAAATTTTATGTTAGCAAAATAAGATTTTGCCAACGTAGATTCTTTAGATCCCATCATGTTATAAATACTTAATTTTTTACTAAAACTTTATTATTAAATGATTCATTTATTAGTTAATACATTATATAATTATTATTGTATCACTGATAGTAATAAAGTCCACTTCTTATTATTAAAAAAATTAATTTTTCAAGTATTCTCATTTTATATTAAAAATATAACTAAATCATGTTTGAAAAAAAAGATAAAATTTAACCTATTTCAAAACTATAATTTTATAATTTAAATCATGTAGATCGATAGAAAATTCAAAGAAATAATATGGTAAATTTTGAAAACTATTTAGAAATCAAAGGATTTTAAACCTTTTTAGTCTTATTGAACACAATATTTTAAAAGTATATATTATCAAATAATTTTTATAGTCATATTAAAGCAGTCTAACAATTCCAATAACCCAAAAAAAAAATTACAGCTAAAAATCATATCTATACCAAACTAACCTACCCTTTAATATTGGGCTAAAGATAAAATTGATAACTTTAGTTAATTTGATTGATTAGTTTCATAGACTTGAAAGTTCTTTCTAGTTTTTTCCTTCGAAGAACACAATCAATGTAGTCAAAACTATATAGTTACCAGTCCTCTTCCTTGGGTTAGGCCTTCTTGGAAAACGCTGATGTGTGCTCTGATTTGCTAACGTGTCAATCGGTGCTAAGGTTGTCTTCCTTTTATAAATAACGTTGGTGGGGTCCTGCACCTGTAATGACGTACGTAAGGCTTATGGACGCACTGTTGAGGCTCTCTCTTCTTGCAGTGGAACTGTGGGGCAAAACAAAAGAGTATATGTCGTTTAAAGTTTAAAGTTTAAAGAGATAGACAATGTTCTCACGCGCTTTCCATCAGCGCGTGAATAATATTATTTAGTTAAGGTAACGTTGATATATATATATATAGTAAAAAAGAAATTTTCTATACTGTAAATATTTGACGTTGTGGAATGTTCATCATCATTGATACGGATGAGATGAGCTCTCACGGCACATTTCATTCCACCTCATAGGAAAGGGTCCCACGCATACTTTCATACCTGTCAAACCGGATTCAATCCGATTTAAAGATTGTTTCGAAATTTAGGTTAGATTGGTGGAATCGAATTTTTAATTTGACTACTCAGATTACTGATACTGTTAAATCTTTTTTTCTTTTTTTCTAATCGAGTCATGATCCAGTTACAATTATCTACCAAAAAAAAATTTTTTTTACAAAGAATAAAAAAATATGTATGATTTGATCTAATGGTTCAAGAGTTGTATTAAATGAAAAAAATTTATGATAAGTTTACGTAGAAATATTTTTATTATTTTTTAATGAATATAATTTTATTTTTTTATGTTTGTCTTCCTTTCTTTTTAATTAATCAAGTATTAATAGTTATATTTTAATTTTTTTCTTTTACATATGAATTAGATATTTTGCCAAATAAAGCTAGAACCTATTTCGACAAATGACAACTATACATAATTCACAATCACAAAGAGTAATGTAGAAGTAAAAGATTTAACTTTAATCCTTAAAATTTAAAATTTAGATCATATTTCTCACGTTTTTTTATGATCATTACAAAATTAATATATATTTTTAAGATTTCAATAATATGTAAAGTTTGAAATATTTGATTTTAATATCATTCCATATTCATGAAGAATAATTGAAGGATGAAAAAAAAAACACACACACACATAATTAAGTGCATTCCTAATTGATTTTTTGTTTTTTTGTTTTTCATCACCTCCAAGGTTTTATTAATATGGGCTGTGCCCAAACAAGGTCGATATGGGAAGGAAAAGGACAGAATCCAAACTAGATAGGTTAAGCAAATTAGAAGGTTTAAGTTGTCTATTGATTTATAGTTCTCTCTTGGCAAAAGAAGAACTAAAAAGGCTAAGGTTCCATTTCCCTTTAGTCAAATCCGTGCCTTTATTGATGCCATTTTTCTCTGAAAAAATCCATAATCTTTCGTTACAATGTCTTTTCAATTTTTTTACATTGGAAAAGCCCCAAATCCTCTCATGACCCTTTTTATTTGGGAATCGTGCTCGTGATGTTAATGAGACAACGGAAAGCAACAAATTAATGTAAGCTGCATCATATCACTTCATCAGTCTTGTTTTCATTATTTGGTTGATTACAAACAAAAGGTGTCGCTAAGGAATTGTTAGTTCCATTCCAACCAAATAGATAAACATCAAACAAGCTATGCCAGAAACAAAAACATTGTAGAATTAGCTGTCATAACCCATCATTACAGCCTTTATTTTATTTTTGCTATGAAATAATTTAGTAAGCCCTAAGACAATTGAATTGAATAGAAAGAACTATGGTCTTTTAAATAAGGTATCGGTTTTGAATTTTTTTATATACAAAAGACTCATTTAGTAATTATATTTATCATCTAATCGAAAAATAAAAAATTAATTTGGGTATTTGAATTTAAAATATTTTAGGAATTTAAAAAAAAAAGCTGAATAAGAGTTTGAACATTAACATTTATCTGAAAATACAACTTAATTTCGATTGACACTTAGACCTGATCCGAGGACGCATCTAGCAATCGAGGAAAAAGGAAAAAGGAAAATTCTGACGCAACAGTAAATTGAATTCATGGCGGGGCTCGAAATTTGCTTCCTGGATTCTCCTTATGGGCTTTAGTTTTACTAACTGCAAGCGAGCGACGACTTTTCAACTTTAAAAGGCTTCGGAAGAAGATTTTGGACTTTTTAATATGGGCTTCAAAGCTTTGTATTTGTACATGAAACCGTACATCTATTCTGTCCATCGGACAAAAGCCAGACAACGAAGGTATTCACCGAAAAATAAAAAAGATAAGCTTTGAGAGTTTCAGGAACGTGATTTTAAACAATAGATGAAAAGATTATCTAAAAAAAGAAGTTGAAATGAAATAAAAATTGTGTTTCTCACTGTAAAAGATCTTTCCTATGGTTTTATGTTGGGCAGATTGCAATTAATGTAGATCAATGCTGGTTAGTAAAAAAAAAAAAAAAACCGTACATCTAGTAATGTTCTTCTCCATGTATCAAGGATATCTAAGACATTAATGTACCAGTAAGATTTTCAATACGAGAAAGAGTCAAAAGAAAAATATGCGGAAATTATAAATAGTCCCTCTAGTTTCCAGAAACGAATTAATTAGTTTTTCGTTTTAAAAATTATTATTAAATTTTTTGACCAAATCATGTTTAATTTAATATTATTTTTATTCTACAAATGTCTTTTTTCTCATTGATTTTTTGATATATTTTTTTCTATTTCTTAAAATAAAAAATTAAAATAAATTGAAAAAAAAGGACTAAGTTTTGCAAATAGATTTAAAAATATATTGACTAAATGATTAATTTTTTTAAATAAAAGAGATTAATTAATTTATTTTTTGAAACAAGAGTGATTAATTTATAATTTACTTGAAAAAATATTTAGCTTGATAATAATTAAAATTTTAAAAAAAAACTCAATCTTAATAAAGAGATAATTTTAACATTTCATTCTAAAAAAGATGAAAATTGATGTAACATGACATTAAATTATGCATATTCTCTCCCTATTAAACTATGCATATTTATTATCTAGTTAATTCAATAACTTTCACGCAGTCAATAGCGTGTCTTAAAGGCTATCAATGTCATGCTTTGGACGGTGTCAAAAGAATTGAAAACAAGAGCATTCAAATGTCAACCTGACCCAAAAAAGAAGCACAGAAAAAAGAAAAAGAAAAGAGTATCTGAAGACTGAATGTCATGCTTCGGCTGACACAGATTCTACTTCGAATTCGACAAATTTAAGAGTGAGATGGAGTGCCATTTTTTTCTTCTTAACAATTTAGGTATTTTTTTTACCAGTTCTAATCCAATGAAATATATATATTTTTTGAAGTTCAACAATAAAAACATCGTGGAATCAGTTTGTACGTTAACTAAGTATATTTATTGATTTGAATATTAACATTTTAATCTTACAAAGATTCACAAATTATCAATTGTTTTTATTTTTAATGAATTATTAGATATTTGGATTAGGATCTCTTCAATTAGACTATGGCCATTATTGGTGGCAACACCAGCCAGAGATAAAAGGTTTTACGTCCACAAGTTTACTCACAATAATTTTTTGAACGAAGCCATCACTGAATTTACAAGTTATCAGATTTGGAAACTAAAATTTCAGATTTTAGCACGATCCTGTGTAGCCACCAGGACCCCCATAAAAGAATACATGTCCAAGCTGACCTCCTACATTTCCTGCATCCTTCACCCTATATGCCCCAACATCTGCATACTCTTCAACAATATCAGCACTCGTATAATCTGTTTCGTTTGCATATTCCACTTCCCAGAAGAATGCATCCCGTTTTCTGTCCCCTCTGACTTCTAAACTGCTTCCCATTGGTGCACTTGGTGAGTTGGGAGGACCATAGACTTGTCCTCCCCAATCAATGTATGAAGCAAATTTGTTCAATCCTTCCATGAATATGCCATCATTCCAATATCCAATAACTCTATTATCCTCACTGCCATAGAGGTACCAATTCCCAAATTTATCCTAAAGATAGATACAAAATTAAACAAAATGGAACAGAATGTAAGTAGAAGAATTTTATATTATCCTTAATTAACAGTTTTCTCAATATTTAGGCTCTATTCTTCAAAAAAATTTTTAATTGAGATTTTTTTAGCTTAATTGAAATTTTTTATTTTAAAAAATTTCTTACTTCAGACCTTTTATTACAATATCACCAATAAATAATTGGTATGTAATATTGTAAAGTAAAAAATCTCAAAAAATAAAACTAACGTGACGATCATTAATTAATGATATTATAACAGAGTATCTAAAGTAAGAAATTTCAAAGAATAAAAAATTTTAATAAAAATAAAAAATAAAGATCTCAATTAAAATAATTCGAAGGATACATGGTTTAAATATAAGAAAAATTTCTTAATTAACCATATTAAAACAAAATAGCTTACATGATCAATGGTGAATTTAATAGATGGGATTTTTCCATCCGGTTCTGTTACTGGAAAAACATAGTCGAGAGGGATATCTGGAGCTACATGTACAAATCCAGGGCAAAATGTATTGAAACAACGGGACGCCCCACCCTAAGTTAGAGTTGAGATGTTTTGAGTTAATATTAAACTCCATCGTCATAATTAAAAAAAAAAAAAAAAAACACAAACACATGGATAGAGAAGCTTACATTTGTATATATATACATTCTAGTCAGTTCATCTTTGTAAATAAGTGGATTAACCTGAAATAAGAACAAACAAAAGAAAAAGGTGGAGTTTCACTAGTAATTTATATATAATTGCATTTAGGAATTTAATTGGCAAGGGTATACCAGTATTTATATGCACTTAATTTTCTACTAATTTTATTGAAAGAGAAAATGATGCAATCCATTAACTTTTAGAATAAAAAAATATATATTTTTTTAATCATATAAGATTTTGGTTGATATATAAAAATAACCCTCTTAAAATTTTGTGAAATTATAGACATCATCTAAAAAAAAATGAAAAATCCAATTCTATCAAAAATACTAATTTTAAAAGCAGTTCTTTCTATTAAAAAAATACTCAGTACTATTATATATATTGTAACAATGCCAACACAATACCATAATAGCATAAATCTCATAATTTTTTTTTTTAAAAAAAAAGCATTATTCTCTATTTTCTATTTTCTATTTCATAATAGCCAAAAATTAGACATTGATCTACTAAGAACACTGAAAAAACACGGACAACGAACCAATATTCAAGTTGACTTACCATCCATCCAACTTCTATATAGTCTGCATTGTTTTTTATTTTCATTCGAGCATAACTTGATTGAGAACTTTGGACTTGCACCTTATGTAAGGTTGTAGACATTCCACCTCCATGATATTTCTTGTCTGGATCAACCTTAGTGCGAATTATAGCAAACTGTGTACAATATGGTATCACACAATGAATATTTAGTTGGTTATGGCAACACAATTCCCTTCATCATGTATATTTTAATGTTAGATATGAAAATTACTAAATTAGTACTTTCTTGTAGTATCTACTTTTTCTTGGATAATTTTGTTGAAATTAAGAGAAAAAGAAAACATAACACTCAACATCAATCATATATTCTAAGTTTTCAAAAAGAAAATAAAAAAACTTATTGAACCAAAAAGTATAAATTTATATTTTTTAATCATATTAGCATTCTTTTTTTAATATTAGACATAAAATATATAAATTAGGTTTTGTTAACAATATTAGCACGTATGAAATTTTTTTAACCAAAATTCTACTATCAATTGATGTGATGGGGAGAGAAAAAAACACATTAAAAACTAGAATCTTAAACGAAAAAATCTACACATGCTAATGTGATTAACATATGCTTAATTTGTGTATTTTTTTTATCTAATATTAAAAAAAGTACTAATATGATTAAAAATATAAAATATGTGTCTTTTCTAAATTGGAAATGAAAATTACTAAATTAGTAATTTCTTATAGTATCTACTTTTTCTTGGATAATTTCATTGAAATTAAGAGAAAAAGAAAACATAACACTCAACATCAATCATATATTCTAAGTTTTCAAAAAGAAAATAAAAAAACTTATTGAACCAAAAAGTATAAATTTATATTTTTTAATCATATTAGCATTCTTTTTTTAATATTAGACATAAAATATATAAATTAGGTTTTGTTAACAATATTAGCACGTATGAAATTTTTTTAGCCAAAATTCTACTATCAATTGATGTGATGGGGAGAGAAAAAAACACATTAAAAACTAGAATTTTAACCGAAAAAATCTACACATGCTAATGTGATTAACATATGCTTAATTTGTGTATTTTTTTATCTAATATTAAAAAAAAGTACTAATATGATTAAAAATATAAAATATGTGTCTTTTCTAAATTGGAAATGAAAATTACTAAATTAGTAATTTCTTATAGTATCTACATTTTCTTGGATAATTTCATTGAAATTAAGAGAAAAAGAAAACATAACACTCAACATCAACATCGGTCATATATTCTAAGTTTTCAAAAAGAAAATAAAAAAGCTTATTGAACCAAAAGTACAAACTGTATCTTTTTTAATTATATTAACATGTTTTTTTAATATTGAACATAAAATACATAAACTAAGTTCTGTTAATAATATTAACACTTATGAATTTTTTCAATCAAAATTTTGTTATTAGTTGACGTGATAGGGAGAGAAACACATTAAAAATAGAATTTTGATTGAAAAAATCTTTGCATGCTAATATGGTTAACAGATACTTAACTTGTATATTTCCTACTTAATATTAAAAAAATATGTTAATATGATTAAAAAAATATAAAATTTGTGTCTTTTTAATTCAATAAACCAAATGAAAATAAAAGAAATGTTACGAATAATTTTATAAATCTAACAACTCACATGTAAACCGGGAGTTTCAACAGCCGATTGAGGATTCAATTTTGAAGCATATATATCTGAAGCCAACCTAGCTCTAAGAAAATCATTTTTGGTAATTTTTCTGATGGGAACTGTTCCAATTGGACATCCCTTACCATTCAACCATATATTATTTGGATCAAAGACAGTAGAATTATCTTTCAATTCGTATCTCTTCTTCTTGGTATAAGATGAAAGTGATATCTGCAATAGAGCTAATTCTTAAAGCAATTGTGTTGAATAAAGAGATAAAATTTAGAATAAGATAAAGAAAAAGTTGAAAAATGTACCTTAAAATCAAATGTATGATTCTTCAATAATGGATGATCAAAAGCAGGTTGTCGGTGGAAATCAACACAATTATATATATCTCCATGCATTGTCTTTTAAGAAGAATAATGAATCAAGGGTTCACGTCAATATTAGTATTGAGTTGAATAATTGAAATCTCTTTTTTATTATCAAGTAATAAATAAATTTTGAAAAAAGATATATGAAAGATCTCAATCTGACCTTGATTGTTTTGACGGCTGGCTTATTCATAAGCTTAAGTTGCTTCTCCAATTCCAAATCTTCTTCTCTAGAGAGCTTCTTACCTTCGATTCCATTGTAGCTAAAAAGAAACAGTATGAACAAAATTGTTGGGACGGTCCTTAAAATCATGGGTGGCTCTTCCCTAAATAATGAAAACAATTTAAATTGTGTTTCCCATAACTTTTACAAACACAAATATTCAAAAAAGAAAAAACAATAATCATAAATTTGTTAAAGGAGAATTATTACAAAAAGGAAATTTTATTTCCTTGTATAGTACAATTTTCTTATAGAAAATACTTAATTTGTAGCATAAATAATCTCATAGTAAAATCACAAATCCCGTTAGTGTGGTTGTTTGTGATTATTTTCATGCTATCCCATTGATATCAGAATTGCAATAATAACCAGTAAATCAAAATTATCAAATCGTAGAGATACTTATGATAGAGCAAGTAATAGCTCAACAAGGACCATAAGATCAATAAAGATTGAGTTTGAATTGCAACGTCCTTCCTACCTCTTTTGATATAGATAGATTATTTTGTCTTTATACATCTTTTCTCAAATCATTATTCGGAATAAACATTTAATAAACGGCAAAAAATTTTGTTTGAAAGAAGCTCACTAACCTTTTGAATTGGATAGGATAACTTCGGAACCCTTGACCTTGCTTTTCAGACATGACTATTGATAGAATGTGATTATATATAGATCCAAAGTAGATTTACAATCAATGTCGATTTTGAGAATAAAAATTAATGTCAGTTTAGGAACAAAAATTAAAAGCTATCCCGAGGTCAGCAAAAATTAGGCTAACGAGGGTATCACTATAATTTCTCCTAAAGGAAAGCTTGGAAAATACATTTAATCAATTAAAATATATAAAGAAATGTTGCTATAAATGATTTCTTGTTATGAAATAATGAATGTCCATATGAATATTCATCTACTTTTGATATCTTCACTACTTATGATTCTTAATGTGATTTAATTCATCATTCAATATGAGAAATTGAAAGAGTGATGCAATTGATATACTTTTAATTATTCATAGTCCTTTCCAATTTTCTTCTCAATTTTAAAGCCTATAAATAACTTCATTGTTCATTAATTGGTGTACAATTTTTCTAGAGAGAATAAGAAAAACTTTGAAGTTCTAACACTTGTATTCACATTATAGTGATTTCATTTTCTTATCATCGTTTTCTTCAATTCTCATATTATTTTCATTTCTTCATAACCCGTTATCGGCATGAAGCTCTAACCAATCGAGATAATAAACCATGAGGTATGTATCTATCAAAAGACTTAATCATTTGTTTCAATCATTGGATTTTTTTCTACACAAGCGCTCTACCAAAAAATCTAAATTATTTATAACATTACGAGGTATGTATCTAATTTATCATTCACTTTAAATCTAATGATACATAGAATATACATTTTAAAAACTTAAATAATTTAATATATAGAATCTAATAATCTAATATATATTATTTGAAAAGTTCAAATTTTATTATTATGTTTTTTTTTATTTAAATTTTATTATTATATTTTATCTTTATTTCCTAACATTATTATTATACTTTGCAATATACAATTTTAATGATATCAACCATCAAAAAACTTGATTTTGTGGCCCTTGAAATTTTGGACAAGAATTATTGATCATAAGTGTTTCATACTCGAGCTAATATCATCTATATTTCATGTCTCGAATATGCTCCTACAGTAGCATATTGCGAAAAAGAGTTTAAGAAATATTTTGAATCAATTTCATACTTGTTCATGGCTAAATAAAATGAAAAGCTATTGATAAAAAAGGATAAATCTCGTCTAATTAGATCTACTCCATTCCCCGAACCGAATGTAACAATTTATAATAATTTTAAGCATGGACGAAGATGTGCTCATAGCTATAGATGTGATTGAAATAATTATCATTATAATCGTGATGACCATAATATTACATCTCACTACCGAAGTGGATAACTATGAAAAAAAAGAGCAAAAATAGATAAAGTCGGCGTTTTGAAAATGAATGTTATAGATATGATATGAATGGACATTAGTCATGTACTCGTTGTACACCAAAGTACCTCGTTAAGTCTTGTCAAACCTCGTTGAAAAAGAAAAAGATAAAATATAGAGACCAATTTTATATATCAAAATACGAGTAATTGAAATTAATAACTTGTTAGCTTTTCTATTTATAAATAAGATGCTTTATATTTTCTTATAATTACATAGAGATAGTGATAAATTTATTTTACTATATATTTATTTATGGCTATGAAGAATTTATTTATTTATTTATTTATTTTGTGTTAATATTGTATATGATAATATCAATATAATAAAAAGCTCCAGAAGGCAACTATATTATTATCTGAAGAAATAAATTTTTAAAGCTCTAGAAGAGTGAATATATTATTACTTGAAGAGACACCTTTTAAAGGCTTTAAAAGAGTCAACATTTTATTACTTGAAGTGACATAATTTAAAGACTCCAAAAGAGCAAATATGTTATTATCTGAAAGGATAAATTTTATTATAAATGATATACTATTCTCTTCAAAGTTCATAGAAATTTATTGAGTTTCAAAGATGTTCATCTAAATTGATATCATATCAAGATAGCAAATATGAATACTTATGTATTATAATCATTGTACCGGGTAAAAAATATGTATTGAAAAATTTACCCGATTTCTCATCTAGTCTTTATTACAAATATTAAAATGATTGAAACAAATGCTATAGTAAATCGAAGTTTACTAATTCAAATACTTTTATTATATGGCATGATCAATTGTGTTATCTTGGATCTTTCACGATGCAAAAAATTATTAAAAATTATTTATATAGATATCTATTAAAGAGCTAGAAGATTCTTCAATTTAATGAATTTTCATATTCTGCATATTGTCAAGGCAAATTGATGATTAAGCCATCACCAAGTAAAATTGAGATTGAATATCTAGTATTTTTAGAATGTATTCAAGGTAATATATGTGGATTAATTCATCCATCATGTGGATCATTTAAATATGTTATAATTTTAATATATGCATCCACAAAATGATCACATATATGCTTATTATCTACTTGAAACCCGGCGTTTTTAAGATTGCTAGCAAATAATTTGATTTCGAGCATAATTTTTGGATTATGCCATTAAAACAAGTGACCTCGATAATGCTCGATGAATTTATTTCTCAAGCATTAAATTATTAGTGATTGACTATTAAAATAAAGGTTGAACATCCCGTTGCTCATGTTTATACTAAAAAAGGTTTAGCAAAATTATTTATCAAAGGGCTCTAATTGATAGCTAAACCATTATTTAAAAATAAAACTCCTTATTTATGTTTGGGGACATGCAATCTTATATACAAGTAACACTTATTCGCATCGGACCCATAAGTTATCGAAATTCTCTCTTTTTCAATTGATTTATGGTTATGAGCCAAATATTTCTTATTTAAGAATTTTTATGCATTGTAGTGTATATCGGTAGTGTTCGTTTATAACGAAATAAAATAGACACTTAAAAGAGATTGAAAATATATGTTGGATTTGAATTCTTTTTTGATAATTAAATATCTTGAACCATGAATAAGAGATATTTTTACGGCTCGATTTATCGATCGTCATTTTAATGAAATAGTTTTTCCATCATTAACAGGAGAGAATAAACAAAATAAGCGAGTTGAAAATATTGAAAAACAAGATTACATGGAGTACTCTATTTTTATATCAACTTGGTACAAAACAATATGAACTAGAAGTTCGTTTATAAGATAGTACAAACTAACTCGCTAGATGCATTCTCGCATTCTAAAAGAGGAACTAAAATGCATGTCCTCACCGAAAATGCTTTTATTAGAATTGATGTCCCAAAAGGACGAGTATATTAATATTATAGCTAATGAATCTAAAGCATGCTTAAAGTGTGAAAGATCGATCAGTTCTAAAAGGAAAAATAATTAAAATAAAGGATGCAAATATTCATAAAACGTTCTAAGATATTTTTGATAATAGACTTCTAAAAAGTCCAAATGCTTGAGAAAAATTAAGAGATTTTGATAAATTATGCCAATACAACGAGAAAATAGGACTCGAAAAGAAACATTTATTGATAAGATTTTTTCATATAATATTTCAATTGATATCTTGAATGAAAATGAAGATCTTAAGCCTAAATTTATTGAAGAATGTCAACATGAAAATGATTGGCCTAAATGAAAAGAGCAATCCGGACGTAATTTTGTTCTTTTCTAAATGAGTAGTTTTTTTAAAACTTATAGTTAAAACACCCGAAGATGTTAAGCTAGTAAGATATAAATGTATATTTATACGATAATAAAATAAAAAAGATAAGATTATAAGATACAAAGAAAGACTTTTAACACAAGAGTTTTCGCAAAGAACCGACATTGACTATGAGGAGACATATTCTCCTATAATGGATGTAATTATATTTTGTTATCTTATTAGCCTGGCAAAATATATATAAAAAATTCATATGTATACATTTAATGAATGTGATCAAATTTTATTTGTTCATTTGAAATGATATCAATATGAAAGTCCTAGAAGGATTTAACATGCCGAAGCTTGCAATACATATTCTCGAGAAAAAAATTCAATTAAATGATAAAGATCTCTATTAGGATTATTTTAGTATTTATTTTATTATTTTAGTTTTTAGAAATTCAATTTATATTATACTTTTTTATATTTTATTTTTATATCTACTATTTATTATTAAACCGTGTGCATGTGATATAATCACTTCAATAATTATTTATTAAAAGAAAGTTATAGAAAAATAACTCTATTTGTTCATATATTTTTATTTGAAAAAGGGTTTGTTGTCTATGTTAATAACTTAAATATTATTAGAACTCTTGAAGAGATTTCAAGTGTCATAAGTTATTTAAAAAGAGAATTTGATGTGAATACTCGGGAAAACAAAATATCTCGACTTGCGATTCAAGCACTTAGAGAATGAGATTTTTATTCATCAGTCAATTTGTATAGAAAAATGTTCTACAAAGATTCTATATAAAGATAATTCATTAAGTAGCCTAATGGTAGTTCATTCACTTGTTATCCAAAAA